AGTTATAGGGTATATGATGATAAAAAAAAAAAAAAGCTCATAGCTATAGGGTGGCAATAGATCCGACCAGACTTGGGATCCGAATACTATTCAGGTTCGGGTCTAGCCAAACCCAACCCATTGCCGCCCCTACCATCGTTGATATGTCAAAAAAAAGGCAAAAAAAACCACTCCCTCCTCTCTTACTCATAGAATGTGTATTACTTGAACAAAAAGTGAGAATAAGAGTACATGCTGCGTTTTTTTCCTTTGAATCCATTAACAATATTTCATTGAGATGATGAAATTGATACAAAGCAAGAGCCAAAAGGCCAGAGAAATAAGAATAAATTAAAGAACGAAGCAAAAAGGAGTACGAAACCGTCCCAACCTTAGCAAGCGCGTCCGCCATAGAATTCCGCTATGTTAACATACAAATAGATGACCTGACTGTTGAGTTTAAGTGACATTTAAAGGCTTAAAGAGAGATTGTATAAACTTTTAAATAAATGAATCATAAACTCAATTGAAGTGTATTCATTTTGTGGATATATTAGACAAATGCAATTTGTTGATACTCGGACTTGGCTTGACGTGCTAGGCCAGCCGAGTTGGAAAACCCAAAGTACCTGGGCATAGAGATGGAACCGATGAGGGTTTAGTGAGTTAGGCCTTGATCAGGTCAGAGTATGCCCAGATGAGAGCCGAGGGACTATGTGATTCTTGTGTGTGATGAATAGTTTATAAATATAAAACTAAAACATCATCGTTGTTTCATCACATGGCATGTACATAGATAGTCGTACTAAGATAGTAATCCACCATTAAGGGTAAAACGTGTACATGTGCGATAGATTATCCCTATGCACCATAGAGTCATGGTTGCATCATGGTCTGACGGATATTAGTTTGTCTCAAGGGAAGAACCTAAAATCCACAGATTGAGATTATGTTCTCTAGCCCATTGATTGACTTTGGTGGTCTAATCATAAATTCTTGCACTTGGCTGTGGGTCACGGGAACTGCTGGGTTAGTTTGAGAAAGCTAGTGTGGATCGTAGTCCATAGTTGAATGTAAAACGTTCTTGTACGTTGATTAAATATTATACCTATTTAGATCCAATTCCCATAGAAAATAATTTAATTTAATTAATTTTATGTTATTTTATTTTTAGAATGTTTATTTGAATTTGAGTAATGATCCTGTGAGACCCTCCCACACCCATGTGTGTAGGACCCCAAGTGATCACTATTAAATTTGGCACATATCTCCAGAAAAGTCAAGTCTCACACTCATGTGTAACTTTTCTAGAGATCTGTGTCAAATTTAATGGTGATCCGTTGGGGTCCTACACACATGAGTGTGGGAGGGTCTTATATGATCGTTACTCTTTGATTTTTTATGAATATTCAGATATTTTAATTTTGTCACATGGATTTATAAATCAAGAGAAATTCAACTTTTAAAGCTTTAAATAAACTAAGAGACATATAATCTTAAAAATGAAAAATAATTTTCTAAATAATTATTGGAAGCTTATTTACTCACATGGGACAATTGGGCGGGGCTCATGAGTGGCAACCAAAGGGTGGCACACCCCACCTATAGGGCATGCTTCTTCTTACTAATTATGGTGAGACATATCTCATGCTAGTTGGCTTTCTTTTTGTGGGATAAAGCCTACTTGCATTAAAGGAATTAAATTAAATGGTTTTAAAATGTCTTATAGAACAATAAGGTTTTGATAAAAGAATAATGAATGGATATTTACTACTAGAGAAAGTAAATAAATATTTTCCTTATTTAACTTATTTGACTTGTTTAAGAAAGGGAGGATAAGATCTAGCAGCTTCTTTAGCATCTTGATGGTGGATCTAGAGAATGGATGACTCACGTATCTCACACCACAAGTCTCAGTAAATCGATCGTCAAGATTTGCTCCTACAATTTTATGACAAACGCTAATGCATGAAAAATCTATAAAAAATATCATTCTCCCTCTCAAGATCTCTACACCTCTTCTCTCCTTGAGATTAAGCTCTCTCTCTCTAATCTCTCTAAGGTGCATGCCCCACCCTAGGTTAACTTGACTCTCTCTCTCTCATGAGCTCTGGATCAAGATAGTTTGTTTGTGATTTTGGGTAGCAAAGGGATCTTCCTTTAGCTAGCAATTTTCTCTCTCATCTCCTTGATTTATATCTCTCATAAAGATCAAGCCAAGGGGCTTGAATTTGACTAAAGTATTGAGACTTTAGATGGGTAGTTCTAGATTGGGATCTATATGGATTGTTTGAATTTTGCCATAAGAAGGAGAAATCTATAGACCGATCAAATATCCCGAGCATCATCGAAAGGAAGAGACTTGGTGTAGGGTATAATAAGCCTGGTTGAAGTAATCTCCGGCGTTTTTACTTCTTTAAAGTTTTATTTGTGCTATGTTCTTCTTATCTCATGAAGCAAAGGGTCTAGGTTTTTTCTTTATTGTATAAAAGCTTTGTTTTAAATGGTAGCAAGTGAAATCTTATATTTCTTTATTTATTTGTTTCAATGAAATTTAATTGTAATTGGACATTATAAGTGATCTTGCCGATAAAAGAAAAATAACATTTTTAAATATATACATCGTGCATTATCACATAGTCCATCTTTCACTTACTCCCTCTAAGATGAAATTAAATCTTTGCCCTCATCTCATTCCATCTCAGTGGGGTTGAAAGGGAGTCGGTATACCATTTGATCACATGGGAAGAGTCCCCTTCAATAACCAGATGCTGAAATTGGTGGTCAAGATTCAACGCACAAAATTTAAGACTCAGCAGATCAGCTTCATTCGCCTGATAGGGCAGTAGAACACTTCGTATAAACAAGTCGGTAAATTTGGTTTGAGAGTGGTCCTACATGATATTCTTAAAATCCATATGTGCCTGCACCCATTGAATAATTGCTTGCATGATGGCCTGCTTTATTAAATCCTCAGTCTTGGATTTATTTTCAAATTTTGAAATTTCATTCTTTCCAAATATGCCACAATGGTTATCTTCCATAATATTTGCCAAATTATGAAAATGGCATAACACTCATTTGCACGAGCATTTGTGGCATCGTCTCTGGCATGTTTATAATTTTTAACTCTAAAGAGGTAAGGGTACTTCGCTCATTCCATTAAGACTTCTTTGAAGGTGAAATTATCAAAGTGACCCTACTTGTTCAGATTTCTCGACACTAAACAAGGACAATCTAGGACCTCTTTTCCAAAATACATGCGATTGAAATACAAATTTAAATGTAATTGACCCTTTTAGTAACTTTATTAGGAGTTTCAAATTGATATTTGGTTGAAGTTTGTATAAGGTCGTCTCTTTATACTGTAGAAATAAGGCGCACCACCAATAAGATTTATTTATCATAAGGTTTTTTTCTTAGTTAATAAATTTAAAATTTAAAATTTAAAAAGTGGTACAGATCGAGTAAATCAATAATCACTTGAAAATAGACGGTCCAAATAACTTGTTAAAAAATGCACTGTTTTTTTGACTTAAAATTATTTTTTTCTTCATGCCAATTCATCCAAAGGTCAAGATGATCCATTGGAGGGTCCCGGAATACTCTCCACTAAGGGATCGCGTTTTTCCCAAATTACGGACGACACTTTCACAAGTTACCCCCTGTACAAACACCGGACATGTGGGGTTTATATACCATACAAAACTACTGCATTTTTTTTAAATAATCTCTCTCAACCCTTATCTCTCTCACGCTCTCTCCTTCCAAACCATCTCTCTTTCTCCTTTAGCCCATTTCTCTACCCTATATAAATTTAGACCGGAACAGTACCATATTGGCATTAGATCAAAAGACCCAACATCAAAAGTAACAAGAGATAACTCACTGTAACTTATAAATCTGGATTAATTGAAAAGAACAATATAAATCTAATTCTCGTACACTACGTAGGCCATTTTGCAATGATAAAAAACTTCATAAAAAAAAATCCACGAATTAAAGAGAATACAAATTTCATGAAAACATCAAAAGATGCCATCTTTCTCTGAAATCATGCCATTTGTGGAAAAGAATTGCTGAACAAATCACCATCAAACACCATGGGAGAGGAGAAAAGTGCAGAGTTTCAGCTATGGTCCTCACATTCCCTTCTCATGAGAAGAAGCTTTTCAGCAAGGAAAATGGCGGTTGTCCGATCCTAAAGAACCAGTTAGTGGCCACCATATTCCACTCTATTAACCTTCACCCCGTTCTCCTTTGGCCTATCTATTTGCTTTGGCATATCTATTTGCTAAGGTTTGCTTTGGCATATCTATTTGCTAAGGTTAAGGGAGAGAGATGGGTTGAGAGAAAAAAAGGTCGAGATCTATTATTTTTGAAAAAAATCAATATTTGGAGAGAGAGAGGGGGTTTGTTGATTTTGGAGATATCAGATAGATGTTGGTATTTCAAACATTAAATATTTGTTTTGCTTTGTATGATATAAACTTCACCTGTTCGGTATTCGTATTACAAAGAGTAAATTGAGAAAAAACATGGGAGAGGGTGGGTACTGCCCGAGGACGATCCCATTTTGTAATAGGACAAGTTTATATAGAGCCGAGGCTCTAAACAATCAAATTAGAGCCTATATCAAAATTTTAAGTAGAAGATGTTGTTTTGAGGCCCAAATATCATCAAATTGATCATCTCGACATCAAGATGCATGAACATGCGAAAAAAATAGATTTCAAGTTTTGAAAATAGTCCATTTTGTAACGTATTTGTTGACCGTCAATTTTCAAGATTTTCAAGTTTTTATAAATCTGTCAATCTATACTATTTTTGAAATTTCAAACTTTATAAATAAAAATAAAAACATATTTTAATGCTTTCATGAAGATTTATAGTATTGAAACCACAATTCTCGATGATACTATTTGAAGATAGGCTTTAATTTGATTGTTTAGAGCCAGGGCTCATACAAACCGCACCCCCAAATGGTCCCTACGTAAATTTCTATTTGCCCCCCATGACAGCACAAGAGCACTTTGGGTCTCGCACTATTTAAGAAGCAGTTCCCGATATCTCACAATGTTTGGTTGGAGACATCTCGTTTCAAAGTCGGGTGTTAGCCAAGGATGGACACATCGCTGCTGTCCGTTTCTCGCAGCTAACGGTTGGCCCTTGCTTTATCACACTGTTTGAAAACCAAATCCAGCATATTAATGACGAGATGGGATACGATTATTCGTACAAGGACTTTTCAGTCTTCGCTCATTTAGTCGGTGTGAATTAGGGTGGCGCGCTTTGGGTTTCTGAAACCTTATCGTGATGCAGAAGCCTCGGCATCGTATCCGATTCAACTGAGCACCTTTTCTTCAGTTGAGAAATCTGGCTTTTCAGTTTGTTACCTTTGCCCTAATTCTTGGAGGAGAACTCAATTCTTCACTGAAAATTCAGCGAACAAGAATTCAGAAGCTTCAAAGGGTCTTCAAAATGACTCCAAAAAGAAGCTTTCTCGAGGTAAACCTCTGTTTCTCTCTATCTATCTAAGAGAAATCCAAGTTAACATACTCTCTATCTCTCTCTCTCTCTCTCTCTCACTGTCTAATTCTCTGAACTGTAATTGCGTCATTTGGATTTTATGTTTCATAAAAAATCATTTGGAGTTCCTCCAAGGACTCTCTTCTCTCTCTCTCTCTCTCTCTCTCTCTCTATATATATATATATATATATATATTTATATGCGTCACTTGGACCCTTAGATAACTACAAATGGATCATCAGTGTAGAGTATGAAGATCTTTTTTGTTTTTTTAATTTATTGTTTTTCTTGCCAACTTTAGACAATTGTTTAGAGGATGTGATTTTCCTGCGGAATATAGTTTGAGTAATCCAGGATATTGTAGAGTTTGTCTATTGATTCGAAGGATACCATCAGCAAATTATTCAGAAGGTTGTGTACAATATTTCAATTTGTATGTGAATTCGACAATGGGTTTCATTTGCTTATCAAGCGGATGATTTGTAGTTGGGGTGAAAGCCATAGTTATAATCCTTACCAAACCTAAGGTAAGCTCATGGTCAGTAAATGTGGGCCTTTAACTGAACTTTTTAGGAGAAGTCGTAGATTTTCATGCCATGAGCATTTTAGCTACGATTCCTTTGAAGTTGAAAAGACGTCTTCTAAGGAAAAAAGTTTATATAAGGTTTCAACCTTAAACTATTGAGGTAATGTGCACCTCAAAAATCCTCTAGAATAGAGTATTTGGATGTTGCAGAATCTCGATATCAAGATTTGTGGATATAAAGAAAAAAAAAGAACTTCAAGATTTTCAAGTGTTATCTGGACCGTCTATATTCGAGATTTTTTATTGTTTATAGATCTCTTGATCCACACCATTTTTTAAATTTAAAATTTTACAACTAGGTATAGAAATGGATTTTCAAGCCATCATAAGGTTTCCGACACGTGAACTACCATCTCCAAGCAAATTTTGGAGGCACCTTACTTCTACAGGTGCCTTATACAAACCTCACCCGTCTTCCAAATCATGGACTAGTCCGATGCAAAGTGGCTGTAAATGAAT